ATGGACTTTTGAACTTAAATAGTGTTTGTTATCTCCATATAAATACCATTTTATTTTAATGCAGTAAGTATTTTGATAGCCCGATTACCCATCAACTAGCTAATTTCTTTCCGTAATCCTTTCAACGCTAGCACACCTTCACTCTAAAAAAAGTTTTACTATTAATTTTCAAAATAAGTATTTGCATTTAGAAAAACAATAAACATTAAGTAATACAATTAGTCAGAATAGTAAGTAAAAGGCAATCCTGCTTAGTAACTGCAATAATAAATAGTAAATACCAATAAAACAATTACTTGTCAATTCTTTTACTATTTATTATTATAATTACTGAAATAAGTATTAAAATAAGTATTAAGACTACTTATTTATATACTCAATTTATTACTCATTTCTAGTGATCAAATTTATATTTTTATTTTATAATTTTCTTAAATTAAGTAATTGGAATACTTATACAAGTTTGAACCATTTACTTATTTCATATACATGTGGGATTGAAACAAGTAATTCATTTACTCATAAAAGTATAAACCATTTACTTATTTCATGTACATGGGATTGAAACAAGTAACTACTCATGTTTAGTAAATCCTTATTACTTCATTAAGAGATAATATGCTTTCTTTTTACTAGGTTTTATGAATTATTACTAAGTAATTGTAAATCTGAAATTAATAATTTAATTATTAAAATCAAGAATATTATTACTTCAAGAGAATGCCAAGTAAATGAAATATTTATCATATTTACTAAAATCGACATTATTTCTTTGTAACTGTTTTATTATATTAAGCAATAAAACATTTAATTCCAATATCAAACGCCTTCTAAATAGAATAAGTTGTATATTTTTAAAGACCATTTTAAAAATGGTTGATAGTTTCAAGTACTTAATACAACATTTTAGTTAGTAGAACTTTTTTTTGACATGAAGAAATATTTAGAAGAAATATAACTCCTCCTCACAGACAATTAATATGGAAGCCATTAAGAATTCAGTCCTGATAGTAATTAGACTACCATTTTTAAGTAATTATTTGTATTGCAACTGCTCTGAATTCTCCTTGATTCAGTAAATAAATTATTGTTTTAAGTAAATCAATTGAATACAATTTAAACAAGATGTGCTTGTGAAATACTGACCCCCCCCCATATGGCAACACAGCAAAGGTTTAACTTTTCTTATATACAAATTCAATATATTGGTATTTCTTGATCTCTCAAAGGTCAAGGTCAAATGGTCAATGTTATTGGTATCTAATGAAAGGTCCTGCCATAAAAGATTCATATCTGAAATAAGAAAGCACTATCCCCAACCCTTCAGAAGTTATGGTGAAGTTTACTAACTTTGAAATGTAGATCAAACTCCAAGGTCAAGGACAAAGGGTAAGATTTGATGGTACCCAAAGAAAGGTCTTGTCACAAGGATGAAATATGTAAAGTATGAATGCACTAAATCCAACCTTTGTAAAGTTAAAGTCAAGGTCTGCTTTTTAAAAGTGGGTCAAACTCCAAGGTTAATGTCAAAGGATCAAAGTTCTTGGTATCTAATGAATGGTCTTCTCACAGGAATTATATCTACTAGTATATAAGTATGAAAGCCCTATCCCTTATCGTTCAAAAGTAATGGCCAAGGTTAACAGTTTTTTTCACAAGGATTGAAATCTCCAAGGTCAAGGGCAAATGGCCTAAACGCCAAAGCCCCAAGAAACTCCCTGCATAAGATCATCAACTGCATTATAATTGCTCAATTTATTTTATGCATAAAATCATAAAGCTGCACATACTTAACATTACGGCAGGAAATATATGTATAAAGCACTTGACGTTTTCGGGACATGCATCCTAATATTCCTTACGACAAAAGAATAAAGTTGATGCATGTACCGGTAAACACGGTATATATTAATTTATTTTTAATTACAAGCTTATTTGCATAATTTATCATTGCAGAATTCCTCAGAAACTTAAAATTAGACAATGCTTAAGTAATTGACATGTATAAGTAACTCTTTTAATTATATTTAGTAAGTGTTAATTACTTATCTAAACAAAATTCAGTAAAGAGGAAATACAAAGTAAATCAATTCTTTAAAATACAAAAATCAAGTAAAACATTTCAATCTAGTAATTTACATATGTTTCAGTAATTGATTTAAATTTTTAAGTAAAGGCTTAGTAATTATCTATTACTTATCTTTGTTATTTCAAGTAAAAAATGACTACTAAGTAAAACTTTTTTAAGAGTGTTATCTTATCCTCCTTCAATGAGTAAAAAGTCTGTAAAACAGTTTGTCGTGTGTTGCCACCTTTGTGACATTTAATAATTTGTTTGAAATTCTAAAAAGTATTATTAACAATGACATATAATTTTTAGCAGACACAAAATATCAAGATGAGAAATAAACCAATTTTGTAAAGGGAGATAATCCAAATTTACAGTAATTACCACTTAGAGTTAACAGAAAAATCATGAAAATGGGTCTGAAAACAATAAAAAACGATGGAAAAAATCGCCATCTGCATGGTAAAAGCTGAAACTAAAATGAAAAAACCCGAACGGGTTTAAACTTGGCAAGTACAAAAGACTGCCTCAAACTTGTACTTAGGACTTGCCTAAAGTAATGTAAAAATTCACAATATTTTAGTAATCAACTAATACCGAAACAAACCAATTGGCAGAGATTCTTCCAACGAATTTCCTTCACAGAAAAAGGATAAATCTGGAATGCATTAACATTCATTCCAAGACATCAAATAAAAAACGATGGAAAAAATCGTCATCTGCATGGTAAAAGCTGAAACTAAAATGAAAAAACCCGAACGGGTTTAAACTTGGCAAGTACAAAAGACTGCCTCAAACTTGTACTTAGGATTTGCCTAAAGTACTGTAAAAATTCACAATATTGTAGTAATCAACTTACAACAAAACAAACAAACTAGCAAACATTTTTGCAACGAATTTCCTTCACAGAAAAAGGATAAATCTGGAATACATTCCTAGATATCCTAGATTAAATAATCTTTTTAATCCTACTTTAAAGATTATTTAAACAGATATCAATATAAACAATAAAATGTTTTTCTTTCTTTCCGCTTACGCGGGTTATGTATTTTTTCTGCAACAGCTGCTTCCGTTAATTCCAGTAATAACAAGCAAAGAAAGCATTTTACTGTTTAAATAATACTCCGTTTACAATGTACCTGTTCAATACAATAAGTTCTCGGTTGGTGTGATCGGTTATCAGGGGATGTTTTCTTCATCCAGGTACCTGATCTCAACTCTGAAATTTCCAAGGAGTATGTGTTTTATATCCTGTTCATAGATTTGTATTTTTTGTAGATTATTTAGAGCAGTCACTGTCATTTAAAGTCACATTTTTCATTTATTCAATTACGATAAGTATATTGTGTATTTTAAAGAGATATCTATAATTTTTTATTTCATGTTATTTCTAATGTTAATAAATAAATCTATTTTCAAAATGTTTTGACAAAACCTGTAGCAAAATTTTTTTTTTTTAAAACAAACAAACAAAAGTTGTTTCCACAAAATATTAGTTATAGGTCTCTGTCAAAGTCATATCACTTTTGATTGTAAATTATATAAACCTCTCACAACTACAAAAAATATAAGCAGGCAAATTTAAAGATATTCTTGTATTACACTGTGCTTGTATCTTTTCGTAGATTTTGTCAGATTTCTAGGTCTACATACACTAAGCTTCTATAGTTCTGAGGCAAAAGCGGTAAAGTTTATGGTTTTTACACACGCATTCATCCAAAAGGGATCGAGGCATATTTACTTGTAAATGAAAACTTTTCCAATGAAGTAATTTTGAGAATGAAAAGGGATTATATATAGTATAATGTAATAATTTCAAGACTTCAACAAAATTAATTCAACAAAATTAAAGTTTAAGATATATTCTCATTTTTCACCAACTTGCCTCTTAAACAATTAATGGATTTTTTTTTTTTTTTTTTTTAAAGTTTTTTCCACGAACATGGTTTTTCAACAATATTAAAATGACACTCTTGCTTATTTCATAATGCAAAAATAACGCCTGTTAAAATACAAGTTTTATTCAATAGCTAGATAAATTATATTTACTTATTGTGTATAAAAAATATTAGAAAAATTAATGAAATAAGAATGATTTCAAGGTCATTAATGCGGCTTTTCGTGTGTTAACTTTGCCACCTACTACTAAATAGTACTGTGTGGTGTCTACAGTGTAAGGAATCATTTCCTTTAAGCGATAATGACAGTTCCACAGAGATCAACTCCTTCATAAATCTTTAAGAAGATTTTACAGTCAGGTAGCATTAGCTCTGTATTATTTTACCCAAGATCTCACGGTGAATAATCGCACATATGTGCATTCTAAAAAGGCGAAAGTTTACGATCCTTATGTTCAGGTATCTGGTCAAAAGTGCAGGAAACAAAAAATGTTTATATTTAGTTAACAATTAAAATTTCAATATTCCAAACATATTTAACTGATTCACAACTCTTCTATCTTTTACGAAAATTCGAATCGAACATATTTTATATCACTTTAGGTCTTTTTTTCAGAATCAGTCTGCAAATCAAGTTTCAGGAATAGCATTGAAACATGCCTCAACCTTGAACAGAATGTGTCATGATACAATTATTTTATATGATAATTTAGATATATTGATATTGAGGTCCGATCATTGTTAGGCACTTCAGCAACATTGATGTATTTTGTTACCTCTTTTCCCTTCATTAAAATTTTAATGCTATATGAACATAGTTAAATCTTAATTTATAAATTTTCGAAATTGGTATTCGGTATACTGTATGCATTCGAATTTAAGAGTCAAACAAACATGTACAATTTCCTTTATATACATGTACATTCATTAATATATTTTATTAGTAGTACAAATTCTCTCTCTCTCTCTCTCTCTCTCTCTCTCTCTCTCTCTCTCTCTCTCTCTCTCTCCGTGTGTGTGTGTGTGTGTGTGTGGAACATTTCAACTACCGCAGTGATGTAACTTTGGACTCAATACTAACATTTTACACATTGCATCTCTGAAATGTCTATTCCTCATTACAAATAAGAGCGGACTTGTCACAGAATTCAGTATAATGATGGCGTATAAAATCTGAAGAATGAAGACGGTGGTCAGTGTATTTTGTGGCAGAACTAAGGCCGCAATCCAATATGGAAACCAGCATAAGGACGAAATGACTGCAAGAAGAACTACAGTGGTCACGGCCGTATGCTCGCATCCACGTGTCCTAGAATGCTCTTTTCTAATCCGCTTGATAAGCCGTCTGATCTTCCTTGAGTGACGATTGGCGACATGCAGAACATAGAGATGAATTCCAAGGTTAACGACAAGAATCACCATCATTGTTATCCGTACAAAGTATCGATATTCCCAGGGAAAACTCCCCCAGACGCATTTGTTGTATTCGGACCAACTATTCCACCCCCAGGCTGGAAGAAGATTAACTCCAAATCCAAAAATATAAGACATCAAGACATATAAAACCACATATCGCTTGCGTATTTTGGAATGTTTCCAAGGCCATACGATGCACATGTATCTATCTAATGCTAATCCTAACTGAAGGAATACAGAACATCCAATTCCACCGTGTAGAATCACATAGTTCAGAAGGCAGAAGTACCGACTATTTAACACAAAGGAGTAACCTATAGAGTACATCAGGTAAAAAGGCATTCCAATTAGAAGGATCATATTTACGGAAGACAGCGCGAAAATAAGATGATCGTGAATAGAATGCAAACACTCGTATCGACAAAAAGTTCCCACAACTAACGAGTTCATTATTATAGAAGTCAGGAATATCAGTCCGTACATTATAAGCACTGGTGTAATCCATGCTTCTGTACTCAGTTCGGTGGATATGCTGGAATTGTTCATAGTTCTTATTTTTTTCTAAATCAGGATGAAATCCGAGCTCACTGTATCTGTGATATTCGTCAGTCTCTTGGAGACCTGTCGTATTTATAACATTTCGATGTTAATTAATTGACACGTTAAGAAGCATTTACAAGGTATACGTCAGACTGGACTAGTCGTGACTACCGTATTCAATATCAGTAAAATGTCCAATACGAGGAATGGTCTGTAACCATTAACATTGACACAACAGAGGCTGGTAAATGACCACAGCATTATCTTGTCCAGCGATCTTAATTAGCTAGCGTGTAGTGCTTTGGTGGAGAAGTGATTAATTTGATATCGGGACACTCATGTCGTAAGGTATTCTACCTGGGAAGCCTCGTGATAGTTTCAGGCATTGTTTCGTTTGTTGCCATTTTATAATGAAGATAACGTTTTGATTATTCTTTTATTGTGTAAATCCCCAAATTAATAAGAATTACCTATCATAAATATGTAATGCAATCGTATCACATCATATGAAGAATTATTGATCCGAAAAAGCTACAGGAGTGGGAAATTAAACCGCGGGACAAAGACATACATATAGATGAAAATCATCTTAAAACAAAGCAAATACAAAAAAAAACTAACAGAAAAAGAATGAAAAATTTAAAGAAAAACAATGTGATGGCAAGATGGACAAATTAATTTTTACTTTATTTGCTGAAACATTACAATATAATTTGATTTATATTTTAACAGATGATGGAATCAATTCTGGAAAAATTAAAAGCACGTGTAGGCATAGGACCCTCTTTCCTAATTTTATTCAGTCAGGAAAATGTCATGAAGCATGAAAAGTAAAGATTTATTTAAGAAATAAGGTATCATTTTTAAACATCTATCGGGCTATAAATACGGGTTGGTCACGAGATTAAATTCGGGCTTTATGATGAATTTAATCTCGTACTAACCCGTATTTATAGCCCGATAGATGTTTGAAAATGATACCTTATTACTTTTATTTACATTTGTGACTTATTCATACTTTATATTTGCCTGGTTGTGACTTTTAAGATGTGAAATGCATTATTTTTCAAACCCAACTGCAAGTATGTAATCCACTGAATGCGCGTCGACCTTTTATGACGTCACTGAGAAATTACGTCAAACGTTTATCCATACGCACATCTATGACCTCTTGACCCCGAACCTGTATTTATACAGTTATAGATACGCAAATGCTTTCAGTAGTGTTATATATAGGAAAGCATTTGCAAATGTAAATATTTTTTGATGCAGTCTGACAATGAAATTTAAGTTAATTGAAGTTTTCGTAAAGGAAAACTACTGTAAAGTACTGGGATTTGCCCTTTTTACAGCTGACTCCCCTGTCCTGTTATTAGGAGGACACAGCCTAAATAAGATAGAGTTCATGATTTTGAAACCAAATATCAGAAAGTACATAAATATCGATTTAATATTTGTTAAGATAATATTTCTTAATTTACAATTCAAAAGCTGTTGCACGTCAAAAAATTCAAAAGAAACCATAACAATTTATATTTGTAAAGTATACATCAGCAGATGGTATCCGTTGATATAGCCACTGCGATAAAAGTGCAAATAATATTAATGAAATCTAATTATTTAAAGTTATATTTCAAATTATAGGTTAGGTTAATTGACATGTATATAAAAACTACAAAATGTTATTCCTGTATTATGATTTTATTTTGACTTACCTCATTATTCTTACCCACACTCTCTCAAAGCAGTCTGGACATATCATTACAACAACAGCTGTCTGTACGTTCATTCGCTAATTAGTCTTTTCTTACATTAAGTACTTCCCTGAACATATTTTCCTCCATGGTTGGGCTCTTCCTTTCAATTTCAAGGATGATGCCCATTTTTTTTCCAAAGAAAGTAATAAATGATAATGTTATTACAGTACATGTATACTGATATCTCTGTCTTATTCTTATTACTGTAACTGTTTATTTTTCCTCAAACTTCTTACGGTACATATCAAGCATAGTAGACAATTTATTTTTATTCAGAAGAAGAAATATTTTGTTGTGGCTTTAACTTGACATTTAGATATTTTAATTTTTTTGTTTTTTTTTGTTTTTTGAATTAACTATAATTACATTCTGTCATATTTCGACCCGATGAACTCGAAATACATGTATAATTCACTACAAAGTCTGTCACATTTATTTCATAATTAGATCTGAAACAGACTAGAGTAGATATAACTGCAACATAACAACCTAACATAACCTATGACAGTAGTTTAACCCTAACCCTAACCCAATTCCCCTTTAGTAGTAATTTTTCATCAACACCAATTCAGTTCTCAAGACCACGTTTTGAGTACGATCGATTTTCTTAACTAAGGCAATAAACTAAGAAATAAACTGATGTTAAAAGAATTTAACAAACCACGTTTGAAGTCAGATTTTCCATGATATTTATGATTCCATTTTTTATTTATAAAATTTTTGACAAAAATTTAATGTACCTACCTGATACATAGGGCTCATGGCCGATGTGATTTTCTGCAAGGGAGATGTCCTTCTTCTAAACAATAAATCCCACATTTGTTGTTTTTTAAAGCCAAGTTTTGTCATCCAAAAGATCCGTTTTGTTTACTGTATTTATGAAATCGATTCACTTTTTCTATAAAATCGAAAAGCATCTTATAACAGTTTCTTAAAAGAAGCAAGCTTTTGACAAGTCGATGAAACAAGAATAAAAAATGACTCTTTTTTTATTTCACATCTCTTTGTTCGATACAATGACCCGATCAACTAGTACAATCTCTCATTAAATCAAATAATGATTGTTTTTTTTTTACTATTAATTGTTAGGCCATTATTTAGATATTGGATTGTCCGCATTTTTCTGTTGCCTGTTCAGAACAAGAAACTCACGACGGATGTGACAAGTCTGCTTCCTTTTGCATGGTACCTGATCCCAACTCTGATGTTTTAGAGGTCTTGTTGACACTGTATAACAGTATATTCTAGAAGTAGTGTAAGTCAGTTTTGGATGCTGAAAAACCCCAAAGGACCCGTTAAGGTCAAGATCTAGTAAATGACTTTGGACTAATTTTTGGTTCCAGATCCGTTATGACGTCAATTTCAGCTTTCTTTTTCCCGTACTTTACGATTTTAGCAGAATTATGTAGAAAAGGGGTATTTTCATGGCATTCAATTTGAAATCATATGAAATGTAATCCCAATACTTACATTAAATTTGAAATTTTTTTAAATACGAGGCCATGGACATTCAAATAACTGTTTTCTGAAAGACTGTAGGCAATTTGGATACATTTCCTTTGTCGAATATGAAAAAAACCTCCCATATTCATGATTGGTTTTCTTAATTTTTCATTGAAAATGACAGTTAAAAATATGGTTTTACATCTTGTTCACCTACAGATCATGCCCCAAAACACCTTTTTTGACCAAGCTAAAGTTGTAAAGCATCATTAAAGAAATTTATATCTCAAATTTGTTAAATCTTTAGGCATCTTTTATTTACTAGATCTTGACCTTAGGAAGATTTGAAATAACAATATTTTACCAAAATCAATAACATAAATTTTTTTTCGACTTTTTGACACTTTTTACAACCACTTCCACACGAAAATAAAGGTCCAGGCTTCATAACATCACTGACAGCTGCTTTTTACATAAAAATATTTACATTTCCAATGTCTTTGTCCGAGATAAAATTACCAATTGTAAATGTAATTTATTTCCTCATGAATGTTTTGGCGCGGTTCCAAAAAAAACCACGTGCAGGGCGGGACAACACCTAGAGAGAAGCAGGCTTGGAGCTTTGGCGGAATCAAAGCATGTAAATATAAGGAATAAAAATTTTTCGAAATGAAGTGATCAATGGATTGGCTTGTGTGATAATTTGCATAAACGCCTTCGGCGTTTACACACAAGCCAATCCATTGATCACTTCATGAATTCGAAAAATAAGACAGTTATTCCTTAAATAAAACTCATAATTATACTTACCCTGTCAGTTGTAGAATTATTTTGATAAAATCATTATGAAACACACAGGTACTCTGAAGTTACTAAAAATGCTTGAGTTTCTGATTACAATAAATATTGACCCTCACTTCGATGCTTTTGGTATGAAAACTAATCACGGGATTTTGACTATTTAGACAGTTGTGTCGGTTCCCAGATCGACCCCAGAAAATCATTTTCAATCGAAAATTCAACCTTGCTGTTCATCAGATAAAAAAGTAATTCTAAATTTATTGAAATATGTTATCTAAATGGCTTCTGATCTTAAGGAAACCCTGTTTTCCAGTCAATAGACTTTTTTTTTACATGAAGTGATTCCTCTGACAGGGTTTCGAACAGAACACGAACAAATATTTTTTCGGTATCTTTATTAATGAATATAACTTAAAATTGAAAATGTAAGCAAACATATATATGTATATTACGAGTATATGATTTAATTATGTTCCTAAAGTTTCTGCATTGTCTAATTCAAACCAGCTGTTTAATTTAGCATCTTCCCTTACATTCACAACCAGGATATTCAAAGTCGAAAACATTTATCAAAAGTTCAGATTCCAATGATAATTAAAATTCAAAAAATCTGATACAGAGGGACAGTCATGACTCATTAACATACGTGGATTTTCTAGTTCTTATAAAAGACCTACGTTTCAGTGTCCCTGCAGGAAAAGAAAAAAAAAGCATCAAGAGCGGTAGGTCACAATACCTAGTCTTTGGTGGAAATGTATATTAACTTTTCTGTTTTATTTTATAGTAATTACAATGCATATCAGTGATAATTTTTGCTTTTTTCATACTTTTCATTTCATATAAAAAAATAATCTTAAAACCTTAAACGTATGAGGTTTAATATTATCAGAATAATGATTCGAGATGAAAATCATTCTTTTTTCTTTTAGATGAATTCGAAACTGATTTTTGTTCTGATTCTGACATTGGTCACGTGATGCCTTCTGGACGAGGCTTACGGAGGGTGGCGGAGACGTATAAGAATAAGAGTTAGGGGGCGAAGAATCTGTAAAGTGGCATGTCCTCTAGTATGTAAGAAGACCTGTTCAACATGTTCCCCAGTGTGTAGCCCGGTCTGCTCGAAAATATGTGGAAGGAAGAGAGTAAGAGTTTATATAATCTATTATTGAATTATGATCGGAATCATAAACAAAATTCATATATCACATGTCTTTAAATTGATTGATTGATTGTATGTTGTTTAACGTCCCTCTCAAGAATTTTTCACTCATATGGAGACGGCACCACTTGCCGATGGAGAGCTGCAAATTTTATCCTATAGTCAGTATTCAGGGCCATTGAGCACGGAGGGATTTTTTTCGTGCCAGCACCCACTGCGACACGGGACTTCGGTTCATATGACCGGTCTCCACGTCCCACCGTGGAGTTCGAACCCGTTTTTAAACTGTAAACTTCAAAGAATTCAAGGCTGAAGTTCACCCATTTGCCCCAAGAATAAATATTCAACGCGTTTTTAACTTGCAGATAAGGATGCTTATAAGTGCCAATTGCAAATAGCTTCTGCTCAAATTACAATTTTTTAATAAACAAAACAAAAAGTAATAATAACGAAAGATACACAAATGCAATTATATAATTTATCATTGAGTCAAATGCTGACTGACGTTTTAATATAATTATAAGTCCATGATTTACACACTTTTATGTTGAATTGAAACTGAATTGACGACGGTTTTTTCGTTATTTCCCGATCATGACAAGGCGGGATAGACCCATAGACAGGGTTGCTCACTCCCCTATGGCACCTGATCCCACTGATGCTTCGGAGCTTTCTGTTTGCTCTACTCCTATTTTGTATTGTTGGATGGACTTTTGGGCTGGAATACTGTTCAATATTTCCATATGTTTCATTTTATTATTTTTTTTTTTTTTGACAAAGAACAAAGAAGTGCGCTCATATTAATTTTCTTCTCCGAAAATACTCAAATATACACGTTTTCCATAAAATGCAAGAACATTGCAATTTCATAAAGTCTTTTTACCAATACCTGAACATTTAGGAGGAATATTTTAATAGGAAATGTAAGCACAAAGTCCCTTATTTGTTTTGATGATTAAAATTAAAGAAAAGGTGTAATTTTATAAATTGGTATATCAACAGAGCCAGTTTGGGCATAAAGTGAACTTAGATTTTTACAGCCATTTATCGGCTGGTGGGGAAAAATTCTCGAGAGGGACGTTAAACAACAAAGATATAATTCTATCATTAAAACAGTTTTTAACAGGATCTGTATTATTGAAGTAAAAGCTCATACTACAGTAGATATACCATGTTCACGGTTTTTTTTTTATGAAGAGATGATATCTTTAATTTATTTAGTTTACGACCTAGTACACAAACTTTTATATTTACTCTTTCTGTGGACAAGTATATTTCATACACTAAATGATGGAGTAATGTTGATAACCACCGCTAGTTTGTTCCCCATGTACGTTAATTAACTGCCTTACATATTCGTTTTTGAAATATTATGTAGTTCATTTATTCGAAGAAAAAAAGAAAAATTAAAATAAATCTTTCTGAATGCAAAACTTTCTTGCTAACGCGAAATAGGTCTAGAAATATTTTATTTTTAGGGTTGAACATCGTCTGTTATTTTGATATGACTTACTTACAACAGCTCAACTACTTCTGATGTACTTGATGTTTTTTAATTTCAGCATTACAAAAGTAATAATTTATTCTTTAATTTGTTGTAAAGTATATTTCTTTTTTTTTCAGGAAACAGAGTCCTATCAGAAGAGGATCTTTTTGGTTCAAGATTCCCCTGATGTCTAATTGTTAAGATTTTACACAAAGAAGGAATTTTAATGATTCCCAATAAATCTCCATATTGTTTGAGAATAAAGTCATTGAAGGAGATAAAGGGTAATTTGTTTTAATGTCTTTAAGTATTATAACTACATCCTCAATTAAAATGGACATCGTATTTTTTTTTTCAAAATTAATTATGATCACTCATCTATAAAGTCACTTTGCTAAAAATCTTGTTCTACGCATAATTAAGGACTCTGATATTTATAAAACATTAATGACAAATTAACAAAAAAGTAATCTAATTGACATACAGAACGAATTCAGCGTTTTCTTCATCAATTTTCCCGTTTTTTACTATTCTACGATAATAACCTAATGTAGGTATACAGTGGTAAATTCATCATTAAGTCTAATTGTGACTGACGTTTTCCACCTTCAGAATTATACAGTCGAGCACGTCACGTGGGATGAGACAATTCCTGATGTCTCCCTCACGCGCAGGGTGACAACTGTTGTCACCCTTCAGATGCCAATGAAATAGCGCAAACGAGCACGCAGGGTTACAACTGTGTTGTCGCCCTTTTAATGAAAATACAGTGTTTTAAGGTATACCTTTACTCAGATGACCAAAAATTCCACTGATAAGAACGAAAAACCACCTATTGCACATTGTACACCAATGATTCTTGTGTTGAATTTCAATTTCAAATAACTAAGTCAATGACCTACTTTTCATGCTACATGTAGTGGCAACTGAGTATTTCTCGGGAAATACCTCAATTTTTCACACTATGACCAATTTTTTCTATACACACAAAATATTACAAGCAAATGTATTATAGAATAATTATATAAAGAAATGATTGGGGTTTGGGCCAGAAATGTGATAATTATAACAGTCCGAATTTCCTCTGTTATATTTATATTTTTTCCCCATTTTAAATCGAATATTACAAAAATCTGACTGATAAGAACTCTAAAATATCTATACCCTCAGATTACTTTTGATGCCCTAATTCTCATGGTATTAATATTATATGGGGTCATTGATCAAATTATTGAGATATATTGTCTGGAATGGTTTTTGTACATATTTTTGAATTTCTTTATTTCGTAGCATTCAATTATTTGAAATAATTTATGAGCTTTAACACATATAATATTTGCAAAATGATGTTTAAAAAAACATTTAACCTTTACTTCGTGATTATTATTGAAAGAAATCAAAATTTCTGACAAAAATTTAGTCCGAATTTCCTCTGCATTACCATACATTGACTTTTGTTCCTGTATATTTCCTTCAAATCATAAAAATATTAAATTTTTAAATTGATTTTGATTTAAAACTTGCTTATTTTATCCATTTAGAACAATTTTTGATTTAAATATATTATACTTTTTAAAATTTCTTTTCTGTTATCTGAAACCTGAGTAAACGTCATCCTTAAGCGAGACAACTCTTATTTATAACTATACAACTGCTAAAAATGCGGGATCGGTAAACAATAAATTCTAACGATGACGTCAAAGTTGTCTGTTGACATATTTTGAAAGTACCGAATCAAAGCAGAATAGGAGAACACAAGAGGTTTGATTGATCAGTATTTCTACTTTATCTTACTGATAATTTAGATTCTTCAGGATAATAAAACTATTATGGACTGTTCGTTATTTCCCGATCCAGGCCGAAATATCAAACGTTTTCCAGGCAGATTTCCTAGCACGTAAAATATCAAAATAGTGAAAAAAAGCCAGGAAAACGCAAGATATTTGGGACTATTCCTGATCATGACAAGCAATTCACGGCGGGTTTGACCAGTTGGCAGGGGGTGTTAATCATGTTAGCTTAAGTTTTCACAACTTATGTATTGGCAGAACACGCCTTTACTCGGTGTTGATGTACTATCAGCTTGAATGGGTATTAAATTTCTGGAATACCTATTCAACAGGTATTTGAATAAACCATATAACCGTTGTTTTCCTTTTCTAAAGAAAGGGGGCATTATTTGACAATCAACATTCTAAGGACAGTTCAAAATGTCCCATTCAACGGAAAATTTACCACCTCAGTGTGCTTCCTTAAAAATGATAAAACTTGAACATTAAACGACAATCATATGTAAATATTATGAAAGAGGCTATTTTCAAAAGATAAAAAATAACTTCACGAGCCTATCTTTCCATGAGGGTCATTACCACCAAATTAAAGCAAAAATATTTGGAGATAACGATCAGTATTCAAGATCAAAGTCCATTAAATATTACGAAATAGGAGCGGACCTCCAAAACATCAGAGGTGGAATCAGGTGCCATGGAAGAGTGGGAATCCCCTGCCGACCGGTCTGATCCGTCGTGTGCTCCTTGTCATGTTCGGAAAAAAAAGAAAATTCCATGGACAACTCAGTGTGTAAATAATAGTAAATCAGCTAGTATGAAAAAAGTCAGTCAGCAGTTGACTTCCTGATAAATTGCATTTGTGACAAGGTCATGTACATGTATCGACCATAAAACTAGAATGTATCGACGAAATGATGACTTTAAATGATACTGCTGATGGTCTGACGTCAGAGAGCAGTGGAGACCTTGTCAGAGTTATACCTACCTATCAGAAGAATCTTTTGATTAGCGCTCGGTATTAATGGAGGTCAAGAAAACATTGAAAAGAGAAGATTTCATAGAAACATCAGAAGATTCTAAAATGCGTTTGCACATCAAACAATAAAGCCCTCCGAATTTATATCAAACCATTTTTTACGCAGTTTAGTTGATTACAAAATTGAGAAAAAAGAACATGGTCACAATACAAAATTTATAACACCTAAATATAAGACAAATCGCATCCCAGAGATTTTTATGAATTGATAAAATACACTAGATAAAGTTAAATACATTCGAATAGTGCATTCAAGAAATATACACCAGTAGCGAAAGTAAATGTTCATGATGCAAGATTACCATAGACGGGATAATAAGGATATAAAGAGTTAAAATTATTCCAAAGAAGGGAATATTGGCAGGAATCGTCCCAAATCTAAGAATAGAATGAGTGAAATAATCACTCTTAAAAGAACTGTGTGCGTAGAATTCACAGTTAACGAAGGAAGAAGAGACCTAAATGCTACATTTAAGCTTGAGTAATGAAATTTAAAACAGTTTTTTTTATGTTGGCAAATCCCTTACTTATGATCAACTGAAAGACAGATCGAAATTAAATTACAATAGGATACTGAAATTAAATTACAATAGGATAGCGAGACAAAATTTTCAATAATATAATCTTGTGTGCTGCTGGATCAAGTGATTTACTTTAAAGTGTGCAGTTTGGAAAAGCAAAATATGCGAAAATAACGACTAGTATTCAAAATTACATAAAACAATACAAAATTGTAAAAGAACAAACCGGGACCTCCAAAACATCGGAGGTGGGATCAGTGTCATGGAGGAGTGAGCATCCCCTGCTGACTGGTCACACCCAGAGTGCTCCTTGTCCTGATCAGTAAAAAGCGGGTAAATCAGTCAGCAACTCATTGTGTAAATAATGGCTTAACAATTAGTATAAAACACTTCAGTCAGCATTTTACGTAATGATAAATTGTATTTGCTGACAAGGTCATAGTATCGACTTAAAACGAGACCGCTGAGATTCCTGTATCTTCAACCTATTTATCAATGATTTACCTCTGTTTAGAAATTGATCATAGGTGAGCATGCTCTTGCCGAACGAACCAACTGATAAATATTAACCTCTTTGCTGGTGTTGAAGGTGTATAAACCGTCGAGGAAAATTTTTCTTATATTCAGTTTTTTTTTAAACTTTGCGTTCTAGTTTTAGGAGACAAAATCTCTATATTTATGTATTTTGAACGTAATCTAAATGCATAATTTTTACCTCCTAAATTAAAAATTTTCCATATTAGACCGCGATAAAATTTTTATCGATCAATCTATTGCAATTTTATGTGATCCATTTTATAAACAAAACCTTTCTGTTACTGCTACAGAACTTTCTGACATAAGTATCCCACCAAAAATGAAGTGGTTATTCAAACAAAAGTTTTTGAAGAAATTACATTAACTTGTGCAGACTTTTTAGTGGAGGCAAGTAGAAAATCTCTAGCGAGTATAATCTAGAAGGGTGTACTGCAGTAAATAGAAATACATGTATATATACTGTACCTGTATCCCTCGTCAACGCTAATGTTCGACACATTCACATTAACACTTTTATTGCTCTGGCAAACCTAAATGCATAGATTAGAATAACACATAAAATGTAATTTGAAAGAGTTGCTAAACTGTTGCCAAAAAATCAGTTCTCTGCACTAGCTGAAAACCAGGATTTGTATGCAACAAAAAATTATATTATTGGTACCAAAGTATTTAACATTGGGCAGATAATATGTTCTGTTAAGCGACAAGACAGAATCCTCTCCATTTGTCCCACGATAGGATTAGCAGGTTGACGGAATACTATAAATGAATCTCGTTTAACCATCAATAAGTCATTTTGGTGTCAACAGTCGTCTAGGTTCATAACAAGACCGAAACCATCCATCCGCTCTTGTATTGACTATTAGTATCGTCGATGAAAAGTATGAAACTTAACTGAGGCGAAATATGCATATCCTCTGTCAAAGTTGTGGGAAGTGTTCGATAAGGGCAATCTAATTTGTTTTCTTCATTTGATCTCAGTAAAGATACGGTGGAATTATTTAAACTAGGGGCGGTCAACCTTCATTGACAAACTAATAATTGAGTAGTTCATGAAAAAATGTCATTTCCTTGACAACTCATTTATACCGTTAACCGATCGAAAAGTCTTTTTATTTACCGATTGAAATATCAAATATCCATATATGAAGGAGGTGTGTCATATTTTATGGTGTTCTTTGTTTCAAGTTCACTTAAATATACTATGCTGACATATAATGAAAATTTTTCCGTAGATTGATTGATTGTGTGTTGTTTTAAGTCCCTCTCGAGAATTTTTCACTCATATGGAGACACCACCATTTGCGGATGGATAGCTGCAAATTTTGTCCTATACTCGGCACTCAGGGTCATGGAGCAGGGAGGGAT